ATTCTGGCAGCAACTTCTGTACTGTGGCCTTTTCATCACTGCCCCCGCCTGCAGGGATGGGGGGTGGGGGTGGGAAGAGAGGACACACCTGTGATTTTAAACCCCCAAAGAGTGTAGCTGTGTCTAGTGAACCTCACCCAAAATTGACTCTAATTTGCATTGAAAGGGGTTTGATTTTAGGCACTAGCAAAACAAAATTCCTTAAAAAGAGGGAGAGGTTTTCTCTGCATGTTTCAATGCTGCAGACTGGATCTTGATTTTTGCAGTGAGGCATGGGTGCACAGGCGAACCCTGCCTCTGTCTGGTTTGCTTTGCAGGTGAACCTGGGGACCTTCTTACTTGAGTGTTATTGTGCTGTGAAAGGATTTCCCCCTTTCCTTCCTCTCCTATGCTGGGTATAGGAAACACATGAAGTATGTGGGGCAGATGTTTAGTTTGCATGTATTTAAAAGACTTTCTTCTGAACAGCTCTGTTTAGTTGTCTTAAACTAAACATTGATTCAGATAATGAAGTCAGGCAGCTTTGATTTTAATACAGGTTAGTTGTCAGTCATATAACTTAAGTGCCCTTGATAATAGCATCTGCTTATTTAAGCTTTCTTCAGTCTCTGCAATCACTGTTTCTCAGTGATTTTGTTGTTGTTGTTGTTTTTGGGGTTTTTTAAGGGTGTTAATGGATTTTGGTTTGTATTCATTGTTCCCTGAAGTTATACACAGTTCTTTTAGAATGAGGGCAATGTCAAGTAATAAAAATGTATATGATATCAGAGGTATGCTACAAACTTACTACAAGATATTTCCATAGTGCAGGGGTTCTCAAACTTTGTGATGCCACGACCCTGAGTGCTGGATGGTGGCGGCAGGAGACTGGGAGCTTTCACGTGCCAGCTGCCACCATCTACCACTCCACGCTGCTGCTGCATGCCACTTCCCCAAGCCCCCTTTTAAATTGCTCATGACCCCCAGGGGGGTTGCGATCCACAGTTTGAGAACCCCTGCCATAGTATATAAGCAATAATATACTGCCTTGTTGCTCAGTCTGTGTGGCCCCATGGGTCAGGTGAGTGGTGTAGGGTTGGCTTTGTGCATCAGATCACACTCTGCACTCCAGATTTGGCCTAGTGCACACAGCCATGTCATCAGGCCCATTGGGTTCCCTCTGAGCCTGAATATCTGGTGGTGGGGAGCGGTGGCAGCATTAATTGCTGTGACTCTGGGAGCTGTTAACGCTGCCACTGCTTCCCTGTTGCCAAATTTCTGGACCTATGGGCGGCCTTATGGGCTGGATGACAGTTCTAGGGGCCGTAGGTTAAGCGTTGTTAGTATATCCTGCATTGTAGTACAGAGACTTTCAGGCATTGATCTTGGGCCATTCCAGTACCTAGGTACAGTTGGATATGCTGAGGACTATTACATGAAAGAAACATTAGGTGGGTGTCTCTTACTTAAAAATCCAAAGCCTACAACTTGAATGTATAGTATTTAAAAATATAACGTTCCACGTTTGCAGTTTTTTAAAGTTTAAATTAGGACTTGCGGTATAATTGTGAATGAAAAGATACTTGGTGCACTTATGTAGTTATTGCAAGGGCAAGTCACTGGAACTTTTTTCAGAATTTTGACACTTTTTGTCTAGTCAGCATATTTAAATCAAAATGTTTCCTGATGATCGTGTATGGTGGAGCCCAGGTGGGTTTTTGTGACCTCACCCACAAATCTCTCCAACATCATAGGCTTATAGACTAGGTTTATATTCTTTGGCTGCTCTGTATTCTCCACTCAGTTGCATGTGGGGATTGATATTAACACTCCTTTGTGTGGGAGAAACAAAATGGTGCATTATTAATTGACCAAAAAACTGCTTTTGAGGTTTCCCTCGCTTTATGCTGTACATGTGTTCCTGGAAAATGCTGCATAACTCAAATTTGCATAAAGAGAACCCACTTTACAATGTAACAAATAGGGATATGTTCCAAGACCTTGACTGTACTGTCCCCCAGACCCATTTCTACCACTTTTACAAGTGATTTTGGTACTCGCCAACAGCAGACAGTACACACAAGCACAGGGTAGGAGATAAGCTAGCGGGAAGATAAGGGGGATGGCAACTACAGAAGTATGTCACAGAACGAGCAAAGAGCATACATCCACAGCGGAGACTATATTTTGATGCGCATCGCTTCCACAATGCACCACACAAAGCAGCTAACTGCAGGCTTCTACCACACCGATAACATAAGAGTGAAATTACCTCACATATAATGATTTTTTTATATAAAAAGGGTCATCGGATAAGAGTGAATTCACACATACAGAACTTGCATAAAGGAAGAGAAACCTGTACATCTTTTATTGACTTGAATTTTATTTAAGTTGGATACAACATTGTTTTAATTGAATCAGTGTCAAACTGATGTTTAGCTTCTGGTCCTTAACAGCCACTTAAGAAAATCTTGTATTTGATTACATTGAAAATGTATTTCTGGGGCTATATCTTGAATTCCAAATTGCTATATTTGAATGTATCTTGTTTTGGGACGGAGGTAGCAGACACAGCTTCCCCAGCAGGCTTGGAATGCTGTTAGTCATTGGTGTTCCTTCCCTGATACAGCTGGTCAGCATAGCCCCATTAGTCATCTCTTGCATTGCAGAGAAAGGCGTGGCTGTGGTAGCTCCAGGGAGAACAGGCTAAAAGCTTGATTGGCTGTGCTGACACTAAAAGAAGCACCTCCACGAATACGGCACTGATACCCCAACAGCCACCATGGTTAAAAAAAAAAAAAAAAAAAAAAA